TTACCCTAAAAATATTTGAACCTGTGAATTATTACGCTACGTGTGCTGTTCTCGTTTTAGTCGAATTCTAGAGAATTAAAGCAGAAGCACAAAGACAAAGTTAGATAGTAGCTAGTAGTGAAAGTCAGGTCATCTATTTTATTCTACTTGGGACTTGTCAGTTGAATACACCTACATTCCAGAATTGATGTTCACATAGAAACTCGAACCCAATAATTCTCGTTGTAAGCTTCCAATGCTTTTACCACTTAGTTATTGTGTTCAGATATTCATTAGTTTGGGCAAAACGAATGATTCCACTGCTAGCCAATGTTAATCATTACTTAAAAATTCGGGAACAAAATGGCAACATCAAAGCAATCTGCTCATAATGGGAACATGTCAATATAATCAGATTTATACAAACTTCAGATCTTAACATCAACAGTAGGAAGATACAGACGCATATGAACAAATAATAAAAAGCAGTTCATTTTTATGTCTAAGTTTCTAAAATTGTATAAGTTACTAGAAAAAAATAGAATGATACCTTATATTCCTAAATTTGGCCACAAAAAAAGTCATAATCACTAACTGTTTGTCTAGGGATATTTTTAACAGCCTTTGCTGCAAACTAGAAATTTCTCCAGTTAATCCAATACTTCATCCAAAACTTATTGAACAAAAGAAACGAGAAAAAAATGTTTTCATCACACATTTTATGCATTTCGGTTTTATATTAGCTACTTGATGAACAGACGAAAAAAAAACGGGAACGTTCTATATTTGGGAAAGATAACCTAGTTGACAAACGTTTGTATTTTGAACAAGGTATCAGCGCAAATTTACACACATATAAGGTCATAAATCAATAAGAAATATAAATAAGAGAAAAATGACGAAGTTCCAGAGATTTTAAACAAAAACAAAGATAGGTTATATATATACAACGTTTAAAAATTCTAGGTATTGATTTCAGAGCACTAAAACCGAATTGTAAAACACATAGGACCTGAAATAAATGTTCATTGACCCAAAGTACTATATTTTAAAGTTCCACAGTGATGAGAAATTAACTAAATAAACTATATATAAAGAAAATGAATTCGAGGACAATAAATTATATCATGGAACATGTAATGCATGAAATAATATTTATTCTTACGATTCAATAGAACACAACTCAGGTCATGTTATCTAAGCTATAACGCTAAACTTGACTGAAGAAAAGTTTACCTCCCCATACTGCTTAGAAGAATAGTCAATAATTTAAAAGACTGGTGCTATATCTTACATACGCCCTCCCCCTACTTTAGACTTTTTCTTACCGGTTTCTAAATTGGCTGTGATTGTCTCATTCTTGCTGCCTGTGGGCACTTTTTGATGTAACCCTATGCCAATCAGATCACAAGTCTGTAATGAAAGTTGGCTGGGTATATAAAACGAATGCCTTAACCGCTTAAATCCATGAATTTCAAAGCCTTGTTAATCAATTCAGCACTTTTTTTCCTTGTGACTTCAACTAAACCTTAACCCACTCAGTTAGACATTAACACCGTTAGATGCCGCCCGTCTCAGTGGTCTAATGGTTAAGCGCTCGCGCACGAGACTGATAGGTCCTGGGTTCGAATGTCGTGGAGATCGTGGATACTCACTACTGAGGAGTCCCGTACTAGGACTAAACGGCCGTTCAGTGCTTCCAGGTTTACCATGGTGGCCTAACTTCAATTGGCTCATGATTGCAACTATCAAAATTAATTGTTTATTTGTATTATCCACAAACTTATTGAGTAAAAATTGAATAAAATATCTCATGGACATTTTTGGAGATCACAAGTAATGTTCTTACCAAAATGAATTTGTACTGAAAACTGTATATTAGAGAATTAAAAGGGAATTCATATAAGAATGAAGGAAAAAAAATTTACTTTTACACAATTTATCGTAACTGTTCTTATGACTTTTGTGTGCATTTGTGTGTTTATCTCTTATGGACTATACATACATTAGATATATAGCTTCTTATGTAAACATCATAATAACACATAATATATTATTGTTACTGTTCAAACGAAAAAAAACGCATTAGACACGATATAATTTCTAAACGTTATAAACAAACTGCTAGAATAAATACTTCATTCTGTAATTTAAGTCAGTCAACAGACACACAAATTTTAAAATCTGTCTGACTTAAAAAGGTGTCTTGAAATTATTGCATAGTAATAAAAATTGACAATAATTTTCTAATTAATACACAGAATATATTTGTTACTTAACGTCTATTCTAGTATATTCACCCCTAACAAGTGTATTTATAATCTATGAATTTCACTTTTACGTTGATTTGTTATATCATCCAAACTTTCATGTACTTCAGACATCTTTTTCGAAATACATTTCAATTGTTTCTTAAGAGTTTTTATGGAAATGTGAATGAATTATTTCAAACCATTTAATAAATATCTTTTCTGTTCTCCCACCTTGTAGCCAAAATGATTTTGTCTATTTCGTCTTATGGTTTAGATTGAAAAAGAAAGAATCATTCCGTTTTCGAAAGATGAATAAATATAATTTGTTTTATTAGGAAAATGAGTATTTTCCACAATTGGTGACACATTTTAGGTAAAAGATCTTTTCATTGATGAAAAACTTTATTTATCTGTTCCGTTTTCCAATTAGAAACAATGTTGCTAGTGATTATCACAAATATACACAAATATGGGTTAAAAACAATATTTAAAAATAACTAAAGAACCGTTTTTTATGAATAAGGTAAAACTAGCAAAAAATTAATTCAGAACTATGTCTTTAAGTGAAGTCATAACTGTTGGATATATTGATCATCTGTGTACTTCCATATATTGTCAAAGATATACATTTAAACATAAGTCCCTGCTTAAATATTTTCTTATTCACTGTGTTTTAGACTGTAATAAAACTTGACGTTATTAGAAATCGAGACATGTGGATATAGTTCATTTTAAAATTAGGTAATATCAAAAAGTAAGGGAATTCAAATAGGTATCACACGATATTGAGAATTGGTTGTATTTAGAAACGTAAACCATTAAATTTCAACTCAGTGGTCTAAAGTTAACGTCCTTGAAAAGCCTGAATCTCTTCAGTACAACATCTGATGACTTAATGAGCGATCATAGATTTAAGTTTCCATATTATGAGGAAACAGATGCCCAGTGCATACCTAAAACTAGTTTGTGGTTTTTCAAGTACTATCAAGCTGAACAGTGATATTTTTTCCAATGAAAAGCTAGGTTCTAATTTGAAGAATACCAACAATGAATTAGATAATGATGGGTTAATAAAAAAAAATAAAACGCTTAACAATGCAAGATCATCTACGACATATATTAGTGTAAAAAATAAATCGAGTTAAAAAACGTTTCTGTAGGACTTAGCAGTATGAATATAACAAAGGAAAATAAAATGAATAGATCTATGCTGAAATGATTATCTTTACTAAATTTTCCAAAGTTTGATTTGTCTAGTAGTACTCAGAAGAGTTTATTGATCAGAACAATCTTCTTGACTAAACTGCATTAATATAATAATTATTCTTAAAGTACACCGACAATATATATATATCAATATACAAGTTGTAAATTTCCATTTTGTTAAACAATCCTTGTCGTAATGAACACATGTTATTGTTTCACATTGATTTTAATATTCAATTATATCAAGCCGTCGTTATTAGAATGCAATTATTTCGATTCTGTATACCATCTCCCTATCATACATACAAAATCCTCTCGCTGTCACACTTTATCTAAACGTACAATATCAAAGCATTTGTTTCATTCCGTTTTCTTTCCTTTTTTATTTAGACGTTTAAAACATATGGTTTTCATTCATTATTTATTTCACAAAATAAGCAAGTATTTTTAGATAAAAAATGGACAGATGTGAGAGTATTTTTCTATATAGGTAAATATCTCAAATACAACTCAACAGTCTCCATAACCCTATACTGATAAATAGTTATTTGTAAATGTAAGTGTATCTGTTACACAATCTGTTATTGTATATTTTGACATACATAAAAGAAACCAAACGGAAGTTTATCAAATTCCTAAAGTAGCATACATCTGTTCATTTCAAATACAAATGTTCTATCGGTCTACTAGGTTTTTTAATGAGATTCAATGCAATAAAAATACAATATTGAATTGCCTACATTATTTGATAATACGATAATCATTATTTTCAAGATATCGATAATAATAGGAAAGGAAGCGAACCAGCTCAGCAGTAATATTGTTGACCGATATCGTCATTGTAATGCTTGACGAAATCGCTTTCAGGGGTGCATCGCTTGTCAGTTAATCTCAGATATTCTTTTCTGATAAATGTCAATCACTAGGAGATGATGGTTTCTAGGACTCAAGCCAAATGTTTTCAATCATCAAACAGCAAGTGAAAAAACATAATCACTAGGTTGCTATATTCGAAGATTTAAAAGCGCAAACTAATAGGTAATTCTGTCCATATATTTTTAGTTATACAACGAATATCTTTATTTGATTTCAAATTAAAAAAATGTCATACGTTTAATGTCAATTAGAGTTATCTCAAACTGTCCGCTATGTAAGGTGTCCAGTGTAGTATAACCTAATATGATGGATAAAGAATGAATTTAGAATGAAATGTTATGTTCGAATTGAAATACGCAACGAAGGTCACATCATCCAATATGCTACACTTACCCATTAAGTCGACAGAAAAATGACCGGAATTGTTGAGCAAGACACACATATTGAACATAAAATCATTACAGATAATGTCAGCTTTAAAATTTAAAATTAATTAGTTAAAATGACCTCATGAGTGATTGAACATAGACAATCCAAACTACTTAGAAAATAAATTTCTAACAGTATGATAACTTTTTAATTTATTAAAAAATAGCATTTAAATAATGTTTAAGTTAAACTATTCAAAGCACCTTATATGAGAATTAGTGAATAATGTATATTTTTTCCGTTTTATATTCAACTTACTACTTGTTTTTCAGCATATTGAAGGATTTTCTTGTCTTTTAGATTTGTCCATTTATTCTCTGACGATCTATATAAAAATAGAATCATAAAAAGTATATTCTTGTATGTTCAGTATTTTAAACATAAAACAGTATTGTTTATACGAAAAATTGGAAAGTGGTTTGTAATGAAATTAAGAATGTGAATTTTGGTCTTAGTTGAAACTCATCAGCTGGATGTACTTGTATTCCAGTGTTGATATTCACATCTGGATTCGAACCTGTTAATTTAATATTTCAACGCTGTGAAAGTTATTCATTATGCTAATGTTTCCAGATAACCACTAGGTTGTGCCACGGAAATAACTCTGCTAACCATTTTCTTACACTGAATGTTTGTGGCTCAATAGTAATACTGAACGAATTCGCAGAGGATGCGCTTATATAAAAAAAAGATCAATAACAGTTCATGATACCATTGACAAAATCCAAGCAACTGAAGATTTACATAATCAGCGTGTCAAAATAGAAATACGTAAATTAATAATTTTTTTTACTATGCTACCGATTACTGTTTTTGGTCAGTCATACCGTAAGGTGAACAGTCAATCAATGCAAATTTTAGTAAGTCTTTGTTAGGATTTTCCAGACTGAATCGATTACTGTCTCTCTCTCTTCACTTGAATCCTCAGGCAGATAATGTGATCTTGTGTAAACAAAGAATGATGACTGAAACTGGCATATATTTATTGAATTCAGGGGAGTTTTTCAAAGATTTGCAACTTAAATAATCTGCATGGGACACTTTGAGAATAAACAGATGGAGTTTTATCATTTCTGTGGGCAAATGATAATTGAATTAGGAAATGAATACAAATGTATTTCAACCGAGAGCAAATTATGTTCATGTACTTGTTACTTTATTCCATATCATACTGATTATTTGCAGAATAAACAAATGTTTCAAATCTTAAAAAATATAAGAGCAACTCATGAAGCATTTAATAACTGGATATTGAATAGGCTAATGAAGTAAAAATAAAGGGAGATAAGAATTAGTGTAAGGAATTTGATGATCTTGAAATGCAACAGAGAATATAAATTTGTGAATTTGGTATTTTGAAACACCAAATAGTGAAGTACCTTGGGTGATGCATAGCACATCACATTCTAAAATTTAAACTAAACAGCTATATTGTTTTTGTTAAGTTGGACTGTATCTATTAGTGAAATCCAGGACGCCCATTTGTTCTATTCTAAACTGATCAGCCGAATGTACTTAGATCCAAGTATTGACGCCTACGCTGAAAGTCGAACAAAGTACTTACCACTTTAAACAATAGTGAATTATCTACTAGGCTTCTGAATCTGTATAACCATTAAAATTGCTCAGCTGGTATAAATTTATTTGTGAGAATTCGCGTTTTCCCGTTGTTTCTGTTAAAGGCGGCAACTGATTAATCCCTACACAGATTGCCTCAGTATTACTAGTTAGTGGCACATTTTCAGTAAAAGTGTACTCAGAAGCTCAGAGGATAATTCATCGACAAGCAATAGACACTTTATTCGGGTTTCAGTGTTATCGTCTACACTAAGATTTAGGTAGATTCAAATATTAGCCACAATCCGTTTCTACTAAAACTTCATATTAAGGGTCAATACAGAGGAATTACTCACACGTTTACGATGTGACAGGGTTGATCAGGTAAAATCTTCAACAGCCGAAAAAGAATAATACAAATCCATAGCTGTCTAGTAACAATCGGTTCTCAATGGTTCTTTGATATATTTATCGGTTTCCGACGATAATTATTTCTACTTAATTGGTTCAGTTATATTATTTAAAATTTTAAAAAAAAACATTTGCAGCGTACTTTCTTTTGACTGGCATTGTTGAGAATAAATTATGGTATATTAAGTGCTGCCGGAGTTGAAGTAGTCGTACGATAAAAACATTGTTCATTAATTGATTCACCATAATTTTTAGCTAAATCATGTATTAGAATCCGTCTGAGTGTTTTCTTATTCAACATTAAAGACTTATATGCTGGGGTCCCATCAAACTGAACACGCACATTGAAAGGCAGTGAAGAAAGTGAGGATGCCTTATTCCTAGTACTACTGGAGTTTAGAGCCAATCATGTCTTTCCAGGCAGAAAGAAATGATAGAAAAAGTGAAGAAACATAAAAAACACATAACGTTCCTTGATTCAGAAAGATTCAGTGCTAACGCTATTTCTTACATTGTAAAGTCTGCTCAGAAATTTATGTGAATCGGTCTCGAGCTCATCAAACACGCTCTCGGTTAGCAAAAGTCTTTCATTACTAATCTGATCTGGTCTTTTAAATGTTATATGAAGGAACATTCTTCTACTATATGAGCGATTGAGTAGTTTCAACCTTTACATAATCCCAACTTTCCGTTGGAATATCTCATAATACATAGTTATTGTTGATCAGTACAATTCCAACATTCTTATTAGTTGATCATTCACTAACGTCCGGATTTTCATAGTATGACCGGGCTGAAACTGTCACGCGAAACCAATCAAACATAGTCCAGATAAAAAGTGAGAGATGGTGATGGCTACACACTATTAATCAAGTTCAGGCTCCACTTTCTGAGGGAGCAAGCGTACGCTGTTAGTTAAATCTGTATCCAGACCTTCTGACGAACTTGTGTCTACACGTACAAATGAGTTGTGCATATATTTAAAGTTAGACTACCTAGTAAAATCGTCCTACCCGCTCTTAGTCCTCCAACCCAAGTCGCTTATTGGGCTCGCATACAGGAAGTGTGTATGCCAGTCTTGAACTCATACTCGCAGACCATAACAAAAGCATTAACCTTACATTTATGTCTTATCAGTGAATGGCGAAAACCTCAATTAAATGAATTAATCCATTTCAAACATGAAATGAGTAGACAAGCTGACTGGTTTATATTATGTGTGGTTTTGATTTACAATTAATGAGCAATCATAGTAAAGTATCATGTAGACGTCTGTTTCATTTTAACAACTTATAGTTTAGGGTTTTTAACTTTACACTTCATTCGAAAAACTTTTGAGCAGAAACACTTAAACATAATGTTAATATGGCATTTTCGTGGAATGGTTGAAGTTAGACATTAACAACATTGGATGCCGGCTCAGTGGTCTAATGGTTAAACGACTGTTAAGTCATGAGTTCGGATGTCTCGGGAGGGGGGCGGGTCGTGGACGCGCACTGCTGAGGAGCTCCACATTAGGACGAAACGGTTGTCCAGTGCTTCCAGGTGGCCTAACTTCAATTGATTCGTGATTTCAACTATTGAAATTTCTAAAAATCTTCACAAAACCCCTTCTGTTAATTGCTTTCATCGTGAAATAAAACTGTTACAATAAAATTACTGGATACATATAGCTGTATTCGTGACATATCGATCGATATCATTGAAAATCAGGAGACGGATAGCTAACTCGTCAAACTATGAGTGTCCTCAACAGTACACAACTGTGACCACATCAGTGAACGTATCTTGAGACTTTTGGCTCTCACAGGTAAACGCTCAGGTATTAAGATTCTGCTTTCCAATGATACCTTAACTTCTTCAACATAGACAAACGTGCTTTCATTTCCGATTTGTATTAGACTGAAAGCACCACTCTTTTCACTTACCGTTGATTTTTAGACTCAGTATTAGTATTGAATGTATTAGTTTTGTATCCAGATGTTTCAGGCTAAATTATTATGAAAATAAAAGAAAAGCATTTGTAAACTAAACTTTTATAGATAACAATCACAGACAAATATAATGTTGTGTGTACCTTTACAATATAATCATGTATCCATTATTTTTAAGTATAAAAGTGGTTTAACAACGATAAACACTATGTTCTAAAAGTTTGGAAGAACATTCGATTTATTCATAAAAATAATAATTTTCCTACATTAAAATTCAATGACACAGAAAATAATAATAACAGAAGAAATCCAAAGAATCTTAAAACATCACAGAATCAAAGTGTATTACAAAACAACGGACACACTATGTAATACTTTAGTTCGCCTGAAAGACAAAATTCCTTTCATGTCCACACAGAACTGCGTCTACAAATTAGGTTGTATTGATTGTGACGCCTATTATATTGGAGAGTCATCCCGCGAAATCGTGACTAGAGCCAAAGAGCATATTAGGTACACAAAGAAACCTGCTAACAATCCTGTAGAACTGAACCAACTTCAAATTAAATCGGCAATAGCAGTTCATGCCATTTTCAACAACCACCAAATCGATTTTAAAAATATCAAAATATTGCAAAAAGGCTTTTCCAACTACAAAGAAAGGAAGGTAGCTGAGGCGTTCCATATAATGCTTAATCCTACTTCTCTCAATAGAAAGGAAGGTCTTACTATACATCCTACTTGGACCATCTATCCTAGTCATTCACTCTGATCGTATTTACAATTTCACACTATCATATTACAAATTTAAACTCTATCCTTTCTTACCATAAAGGTCACACAAGTTTTCATTCTTAAACAATGCACATATACATACACACACAAATTTACATACATATCACTTATGAATCACCTTGACAGAAATGACATGACATCAACTTGTTCAGACCTGTTTTTTGATTGATCAAATATTATTCTTGCATTGTTCCATTGTACTATTTAAGCTTGGATTAATTTTAATTTGGTTATTTATCCTCTGAAGAAGTGACTTACACCAAGTCACGAAACGTCAGAAAATCTAATTTTCTATTCATTGGGATATTACAAATATATTATTTTATTTATAACAATCAACCCAATGCTCAATTTATTCGAAATTATCAAATCAAACCTTGGTAATGACACCTATAATAATATATGGTTGATCCCGATATGAAATGTTCTATTCCATAAATCAGATTCCAGTCTGACAACTGAATAAAAATGATGAGTCTTAAGTAGCATGAAACGCCTGTTCTATATTTCACTACTGGGCAAAATCCATTTTAACTACTTGTAATTATGATTTGAAAATGTAAAACAATGTCAAATATTTCCCCGGTTTTATTTTAGATGGATTTATAATAATCGGACAAGATGATGATACTAGCAACCCTATACTGCTCATTTTATCACTAACTTACAATTGATCAAAATTTCATCAAAAATTTTTGTTATACATATCATTTTGATTGTCCGACTAATAGGTAGATTTGAATTCAGTGAACTGGTAAGAGTTAACAATAATTAATCAATAGTTCAATCCATGTATATACCCTACAGAATCAATAGATTGACTGCTTTGACTAACAAATATGACTAAATTACTTAGTTACACTTTGTTCTTTCCAGACGGAATTAATTTAGCAAAATAAGTAGATGAGTGAAATTAACGATTAATGTGTTATTGGTAACCAACATCATGTTACCTTTTATATTTGCTAACTAAAAAAGTGTCAATAAAACGATATGGCGTGGTTATGTATTCCGTTATCTGTCTCCGATTAGATCGTTTGCTGATTGTTATTGAAAGATAGATTCCAGCTTTCCTCCTATATAATTATTGACTTAATCCGCGTTATTGAATAACGGAATCACGGAATTACGGAATAACGGAACAAGTCACATATGAGAATGGTTTTTCAGCATGTATATTTCATGCACTCATTGATTTGAACAAATAATCAGGGAAACGAAACGAAGAGGGGAGGGCGAGGCAGATCGGAGAAGGTAAGTGAACCAACTTAGTTTAATCAAGCGTTACTCAATATACATAATCACACCAAAAATAAGTTACAGGCATATAATGAATAGGATAAGCAGACAACACACATACGATCGTATAAAAAGTTAGGGTTAATGAGCCAATAAGTGGCAAGGTCAAAATGTGGCTTGAGAAGAATGAATAGATTGGTCTCTCCGGAAACTAGAATAACCTCTGTGTGCAGAACTGTATTTGTGAGCGACAATCAGTTGGTCATGTTGTGTGTGCTCACAAACCGGAACGAAAGGTTAATTGTTACGTTTTTTAATCAACAATTATATAATCAATAATGCTAATTGTACAAATTATGATACTTAATGAAAAATTCAAATAACAACAAAAACTGATTACAAAATAAATCTACCTTAACTATCCCTACAGTGGTTTGTAGAATGAATAAATTAGATGCGTACAAAATTTTGTTGGGTAAATGTTTGACTTCAGTGTTCACTATATTGTATACACAATCAGAAACTGTCAGAAACTTTTTTCCTGCATATTTTTATATTTATTCAAATATTATAGAACTCAAATGAGTAGTAGTTGTTATTGTAGTAGTACACTAAGGAACCAACAAAAAATACTGTGGTCTACGATTTCTAGTCTGCATTTAATAGTCTACATCATTTGAAGTCAAAAACTAATTTTAAGATGTTTGCATAACGTTATTTGTGATTTTCTGACCACATAGACTATGTTTCCGAATAATCAGTAATTGCCCAAAACAATGGAAAGCGATATGTCACCTTAAAAAGCTTTCCCTGTTAGTCAGTTTAATGAAATGGTTTCATCATGTTATCAAGCAGATTATTAGACTTTGACACTATTTAAGATCATGTCTACTTATATACACTTAAAATAATATGAAACCGGACATCTTTCATTTTATTAAGAAATATACAATTCAAACTTATAGTTTGAAGATATTTATGGCATCGCTGATGTTGATAGTGGTACTGCGTTTTCTGAGCCAAGTAGTTTATTTTAAAAACGTTCATTATCGTTCTAGACAACATCATCAGTACGAACGTTTGACTTCAGTATGATGTTCGAAGTCAGAGAAGGCAACTTCACCAAGTCAAATTAATGTATTCCTCGTTTTTTGAAAATGGGAGAGTTTCATCAAGAAACAATCTCTCACTAGAGGACAACTGTATTTTTTCCAAAAATATTTTCATCATTACGTTCTGTTAACAAATGTCAGATAGCTGGTTTGCACTGCGGCAGAGTTCTAAGCTTCACTAGTTTTCATCAACTGTCAAACTGTTATAGATTCCTGATTGTAACCATTAATAAAATACATAAGTTTCTCTACAGATACATTCAATCAAGCACAAACTAAGCTTTAAGTGAAAATCACACATGCGAAATTCGTCACTTTCCCACTAGTATTATGTAATTTGAAACGTTTCAAAAAATACTTTATAAAAATACTTCATTCGATATCAATGTGCTTTGTCGTTGTGCCGATAAATAAAACATTTTATTAGCATAAATCCCGACTTAACAATGTTTGCAAAAACGACAGTGACGAAATTTTATAACATGTGTTGCTGAAGAGTGCTGAATGTAGCATGAAAACTAGGTCATGAAGTGTCGCTTCTAACAGAATATGTCCAACATGTTGTGACTCTAAGTCCGGCTGGTATCACGTGATTTATCCGCCAATCGAAATACGACTTATACAATCTTAGCACTGTGCTAAACCGATGACTTTCGGCCGGTATGAGCAGCCTAGCGTCCTAATTGATCCTCAGTCAGTCAGTCAGCTACAACGTAGGACCAGGCACATATATGCATCGGTCCAAGTTGCCATACCTCACTCATTAAAACAACAAGATGGACACCGGATTCATAAAAGTAGTTAATTCAGAGGTGGTAATATATAAAAGAAAGATTGCATATAAGGATATAGTACAGGAAGAAACAATTAGTTCGTAGAAAGAAAGATATGAAGCGATTTTAATCTCTTAGTTCAAGGGAAGACAGAGAGTGTATACACCGACGCCATTGTGATCGATTCTGTACCATGTCACCAAGAGTCTCCAACCATTGGTTACGATAGTCACGCCGACCCCAACCAAGTAGTCTGCATCTACCAACATGGCTCAGACTAGAAGTTAGTGACTTCAAGCACTGATGCCACGTCTTGGTTTGACCGCCCCTAACTTTCTTCCAACCATCCCGAACACCGGTTAGCATTGCACGACGTGGTAATCGGTGTTCAGGCATACGTAACACGTGGCCCAACCATCTCAGTCGATGAAGATTCACAACCTCATCAACTGATTTACCATCATTCCCTAATACCCTGCGTCTAACCTCACTATTACTTACCCGGTGATCCCAGCAGACGCCAGCAATATTTCTAAGGCATCTGTGGTCAAATACTAGTAGCTTACGAGTATCTTCTACTCTTAATGGCCATGTTTCGCCGCCGTAAATTAAAACAGAACGGACTGCCGCGCAGTATACTCGTCCCTTAGTTGATAGACGGATATCTCGTCTTCGCCACAGGTGACGTAAGTTGGCAAAATCCAAGCGAGCTTTTCGAATCCGTGCTGAGATTTCGTCAGACACCAACCCATTAGGGCTGATCAGACTTCCAAGATAAGTGAAGTTGTCAACTCCCTATCCTTAGTTCAGGTGTTGACGCAGACCAGTCCTGAAGCAACAACTTGCATTTAGAGGGAGAGAAGTGTATTCCAAACATTCTGGCATTGTTGCTTAGTGCTACCAAAAGACTGCATTTTATCAGCGTCTTCACCAAACAGGACTATATCATCTGCGTATTCTAAGTCGATAAGTGGACCTCCTGGAAGGAGATCAATACCCGAGAATTCAGTCGACGAGAATGTTATTTCCATCAATAGGTCTATGATGAAAAACAAAAATGGGGAAAGTGGACAGCCTTGACGGACACCACTTGAGGTTGCAAAAGTAGATGACAGTTCGCCATAAGCTCTGACTCGA